TTCGGGTACTTTACATCCTGCGGCTTCCAATTCCCAGAATCCCCGAGCCAGCACAGCTGGCTGGGGGATTCTGGGAGTTGAAGTCCACAGGACTTAAAGTCCCCAAGGTTGAGAAACACTGATCTAGATTATCCTGGGGGTAAGAACCGACTCTTCAAACTGTGTACTTGCGTGTTTATTTAGATCCATGTTTTTCCTGGGTTTTAAAGGCTCCCCAGGAAGTGATGTGTAGTTATGTCCATTTTGTACTTTCAGCTTCTTTGATGGTAACTGACCTTAAAGTAAGCAGTGGTGTGTCGTCCCCCCCCCCTTCTTAAAGTAGCCATAGTTGGGCTCAACAATTCTGTATAATTTGTATCCAGTTTCCTTCTCTCCCTTGCTTCCAGGAGCAACTAAAGGTGCTGGCTGCCCCCAATAATGCCTCACATGGCACAGACTGGGTTATCATAGGGACTGCCATTTTCCTTTAGTTTCTGCCCATACTACTCAATATGTTTGCTCCAGATCCTTTCAGTTAAATGCTGTCATTACTTGGGACTTGGAAACATGTCTGCTCTCTGAAACAGCATCACCCCTGAAATCCGCATGAGTCCCACGCTTCAGTTATTTTGGGAGTCTTTGAAAATTCGGCTTTGCTCTGATTTAGGCTGGCTGCCAAATCCCTGTAATATTTTATCGGATTCAGAATTTTCTAGACACAAATGGTTTGTGCTTTTATTGTTTTTTTCTTTTTAAGAAAAAGCTCTGTTACGATTCTTTAACAACAGTCAATCTCACAGTATATGTTTGCTGTCTGGGAACTGTAGACAAATGGGGGAAAGGGCCAAGCATCATCAAAGGATCACAGTCTGCTAAGAACATGGGCTAAAAGTAACTTTTATTTTTATTTGGTCTCTAATTCTTTCTTGGATCTCTCATGGAAATACAGCTTGCACTTCAAACTAATGTCAAATTTCTGAAACTAAGTAACAGCAATAGAAATCATCAAATGCAATACACTTTGTTATATCTAGCCTGAGAACTCATTACAGTAAAAGCAACGCTAATTAAAGCCACAAGCAATCTGGCTCCAATAACGGTTAAGGCATTTACTGATTTTAACAGAGGAAACATAAAAATCAAGGAACCTTCTAGTCAAGGGTTGGATAACTATAGCACCTTTACAACCTGTGGACTTCAACTCCCAGAATTCAGGAGCCATTCATGCCCAGGAATTCTGGGAGTTGAAGTCCACAGGTTGTAAAGGGGCCATTGTTGCCCACCACTATTCTAATCAGACTTCCAGAGCAGGGCNAAAGGTCACTTCGGTCATTTCCGGTGATCGCTGTGCTATTGCTGTTTCTCCTTAAATAAACAGACAAATCAAAACCCTTAGTGGGTTATCTGCCTCAAGCAAATCTGAGCAGAGCCTTCGTAGTATATAAAAGAGGAGGAAGAGGAATTGGCAAATGTTTGCTACATTAATTTTTTAAAAGATACAGCAAGTATTTGCCACAGAACCAATGCATAAATGATAGAAATGAAAACAGACCTAAGTGTTTAAGAAAAAGCAAGCAAATATCTATTATGAATAGTAAATGAAGAGAAATAGTTCACCAGCAAAATGCAAAATAAATGGAAGATAAGGCTCTGAGATGCTTCCCTGAAATTTTCCCTAGTTCAAACAGAATAACAAAAGTCCCTGGTAGGTTGTTTTGCATTTTACACCAGTTTCTCTACACCAGTGAGAGTGGCATACACGCTTTGCTATGTGTGACTGTTCTCTAAAAGAAATCTGTTTTAAAGACAGCTTTTAACGTTCGAAAACAAGGAATAAAATCTTGTTGATAGGGAGATTTAGCAATCTCAACATTCTAATGCCTCCCACTTATAACTAACCTGCCCCTTCTAATTGTCAAAAAGACAAAAATCGGATCCAAGCAGTCCAACAAAGAGAATAAGGATAGTTGACCTTTTTATGATTTATGACAGTGTAGTAAACAGTAGACTCCCTAGGTCCTATTTCCAGTTGAATGTAAAAATATATTTGAATTGCTTGAAATAAAAGCAGAGATTTTTTTTATTTTTTTCTTTGTTTTGTGTATGAGCCTCACTGGCACCTATGCAGAATGCATTCCTTCTTTCATTGTCCAGGTTTTGTTGACAATATCACTTTCCTATCCTTAAACATAGATAACACAACAGAACTGCTTGTTTAGGTTGGTTCACAGGTCAAAAGCAATGGAGGACCAAGAAGCTGCTATAGAAGAGAACATTTAGAGAGAAAAAACACTTCTGAATAGGAGGCAGTGATTTATTTCTGGCAAAATGTATACAAATTCAAACAATATGATTTATCTATTGAAAAAAACAAGATAACACGTTTGAGAAAACCTTCCAGTTTACATACCAACCACAAAGTTATATTTATTTGTGTTGTGAAAGTGATCACAGACCTACCACTTCAAACCCATGAATTGTTTTGTGCTGTTGATTTCAAATCGTTTATTAATGTGGTGCATTGTATCTAAATAGTCATTGTTTGGTCATTCCAAAAAACAAGGTGACTTCATTTCATACTTATCTCATTAAAGTTAAGAAATGATAAATCAGGAAATTCTTTTTTGTAATCTTGGCTCTTTAATAACAAAGCGGGACAATCAAACTTGAGGAAATTTGTATCATGTAGCTCGGATCAGAAAAGCTACGTCCAATTCTGAACATTAAATAATGCAAAGAAGATCAAGCATGTCTTTTTGTTAACCGAACAATTTGTTCCAAATATATATTTGAAGTATAGCTATGTGCTTTCTATTCAGCATTTTACTACTTCTAAATAATCTACAGAGTAAGTGAATAGATATTTCCAACAAAGAAACAGGAGACAATTGTCAACACTCTGCAAACTCTTCTAAAAGGTGCTTCTAAAAGCTTTGATGTTTCAGCTTATACAAAATGTTAAGCTCCTGCACTTAAGCTGCTACTCATTCATGACAATTTCATTATGGTGTATTATGGAATACTTTGATCTTTTGTCACTAATGTAAGATTGAAGAGCAAAAGTCATGAAAAGGTTTACGGAAAATGATAGAAAACAAAAAAGAATGGGAGACTAAGAAGAAATGAAATTTAAGAAACAGAAATATTACTGATCTTTCAGCAAAGTTTAAACGAGAGGGAAGTAGATAGCACAGAGACAAAGGAAGGTAGACTTTATATTTCACTTATTATGTGGCACCATATTTTTTGTATGTAAACCAGCTCATTGTGTTGGCAACAGATCACTAATTCTGTGTCATTCTTTATGAAGCCTGGATTTAATGGAAGATATTCTTTTAATCCTCTAATTATCCCTTCATGATATTTACAGATTATGATGTTTTTTTAAAAGAAATGAAGATGGCAGCCACAATGGTTCCATTGAAACTCTGCCGTTTTGTTTAAGTGCATCAAAGAGCTTTACGGTGAACATCCCTGCATCCCACTGTCCTCCTGTTTCCCAAAGATCATTTTATTTCATTTCATTGTCTTTATGGCGGCACAGTGGTAGCACAGTAGTTAGAATGCAGTATTGCAGGCTAATTTTGCCGACTGTCAGCAGTCTGATCCTGATTGGCTCCAGGTTGACTCAGCCTTCCATCCTTCTGAGATCAGTAAAATGAGGACCCAGATTGTTGGAGGCAATATGTTGACTCTGTAAACAATTTAGAGAGGGCTGCAAAGCACTATGAAGCAGTATATGTGTTATTCCATCTGCTATTTTCCTACTTTGCTTCACTCCATTTATTCATTTACTGAGGTCACCATAACACTACATAAAGCAAGGCATTTCAGCCATCTGACTGCCAGTAGGAGTCTTAATGTAGTCTTAAAACTTCAAGTAGTACCAAATGTACCAGTAAGAGTGCTGATCAGACAATAAACTCACTGAGTAACCGTTGGGTCAGTTATTAGATTGTTGTGGGAAGAATCATCTTGAACTCCTGGAAAAAATGTGTGCGTGTGTATCTTCATCAGAAGTAAACTTGAAGATCTAGATCAGTGTTTCTCAACCTTGGCGACTTTAAGTCCTATGGACTTCAACTCCCAGAATTCCCCAGCCAGCTGTNAGATATTATTTTAATCTGTTCTTTAGGAATCCTCTGAAGTTAAACTAAATTTAGAATTTAAAAAAATTGATCTTCCTCTTTTGTGTTCTTTCCTGATAGGTTTGTAACTCGATTCATTGATCTGGATGGCTTGTCATGCATTCTGAACTTCCTGAAGAGCATGGACTATGAGACTTCAGAATCTCGAATCCATACCTCTCTCATTGGGTGCATCAAAGCCCTGATGAACAACTCTCTTGGGAGAGCCCATGTCCTGGCCCACTCAGAGAGTATTAATGTAATTGCTCAGAGTCTGAGCACTGAAAACATTAAGACTAAGGTGGCGGTGCTGGAAATCATGGGCGCTGTGTGCCTGGTTCCTGGGGGTCACAAAAAGGTACTAGAGGCCATGGTGCACTACCAAAAATATGCCAGTGAACGGACTCGCTTTCAGGTATGGAGCATCCAATTATTCTTTAAATGGAATGGTATTTTAAAACAACTGTAATTTTCATTTAAAGTTTTTTCCTCTCCTTTCCACTATAACACTGATAAAAATATTCTAATTTTCAGACATTAATAAATGATTTGGATAGAAGTACGGGACGATACCAAGATGAAGTAAGCCTCAAGACCGCCATTATGTCTTTTATCAATGCTGTTCTAAGCCAAGGAGCTGGAGTGGTAAGTTCAGAAGCTAGAGATGGGTGCTTCGTAATATTGATTGGGATACTATCATGTTTGAACAAGGATTCTAGAAACAATAGCTAAAACATCTAAATGGGATATCTTGCATCATACTAGCAGCCATAACACTTACAGTAGGTTTACATAGGGCAGAGATAGGGTACAGGTACTCGTAGGATGGAAGAGCTCTCATTAATTAGTAAAGACTTTAGGTCACCTTAATTTAGAACTGTGAAAAGTGTGCAAAAGAATTGTCTTGCACATTCATATCTGAGAGGATAATCAGAATATTTTGGCAGAGACTTTTCCATCCCAGTTTCTTGAAAGGACAGAACAGAAACACAAGTTATCCTTTAATAAAAGGATGCTTGCCATGCATCTTTCTGTCCTACTTAAAACACAAATACTCACCTTCTCATCCTACCCCCAAATAGAAACATTCAAGATCATAATATCAGGCAGAGCAATTTGTACATCTCCTAATGATGGATATTCTGGAAAAGTAGTTTTCCTTGTGAATCTGGAACCTCTTTATGTACATAATTTGATTCTTTTAGTGTCTGAAGAACTTAGTGGCTGCAGCTATGTTGGATAACTCTCACTGATTTTTTTTAAACTATTGGTGATGTTGGAGACCAGTAGGAATTAATGTCTGTGATATCTAGAGAGGAGAATATTTGTGTTCCCCTAATATAAACCCACTACTTATTATTGTCACCCTCAGGCTGTCTAGGAAAGAAATATAAGGTATATCTCTGCTCCCCTGGCTTGCTTTGTTTTTGACAAGTCAGTGGAATCAATAAAGAGTAAAGCTGGTGAAAAGACCTAAGATGATGAACCCCGTTTTCTTGTCCCCCTGAATCCTGATGTCTACAATACTTTATCTGTCTTATCTTATTCCAGTGTTACTGTAACTCCGCAATTTCCAGAAAGTTTCCTAATCTACCTATTTTGTGACTGCCATTACAAAGTGTAGTTCATCTGCTGCATAGGTCCCCATTTTCTGTTTACTTCTTTGGTAAAACAAAGGCAGTGCTGAGGCTTAGTGGTTAAAACACTGGGCTTATCAGCTAGAAAGTCAAGAGCCCCAGTACAAGACCCAAACACTGTGTATCATGAGGAGACCTGTTACTCATCCCAGCTCCAGCTAACCTAGCAATTTGAAAGTATGCAAATGCGAGTAGATAAATAGGTACCACTTCAGCGGGAAGTATTTTCATACTGATCGAAGCCTCTCTCAGACAACGCAGGCTCCCTCGACTGAGAATCTGCGATGAGTACTGCCTCCTTAAGTCAGTCACAACTGAATAGGGAAACTTTTAAGCCTTTGATGGTAAAACAAAAGTACTATCATTATAACAGTAACAATTTTGAAAGATTGCCATCTTCTTTTCCTCTTTCCCAGGAAAGTCTGGACTTCAGACTCCATCTTAGATATGAATTTCTCATGCTTGGAATTCAGCCTGTAATTGATAAGTTAAGAGAACATGAAAATTCCACATTAGATAGGTAAGTATGTGGTTTGTAATGTTGTTTCATTCTTCTTACCCATTCTGCCTGGATTTTGTGATAAAGGAAATTGATAGTACATTTCTACCCATCCTAATGTAAAGAAATTGTTCTAAAATTTTGAATTTTTCCAAGCTAGCTGGAATTCTATGACACTAAGCCAGGATTTAATGCACAGAAGCCTCTGAAGCTCCAGTAAATCTCACACCTGAGTGCTTCTCCCCCTTCTCTAACTGCTTCACAAGTAGAAAAATTCCTGCCAGCTTAATTTTATCTTTGTTCATCCCAGACTTATTGTGGTTTGTTAAGGAACTAGCAAAACTATGCAGGCTTGGTTATTGGTTTGATTTCCAATTGGCTGGATTTTGTTTAAATCATGATGCCTAATTCATGCTAATAATAACCAAATATCAAGAAGATGAAATTGAATTTTTTCTTGCGGCTTCATCAGAAGAGAAGAGAATGAAGCATGCATGGTTACACAGGTTTTGCAAATAATGCTTAACTTAATGTTACATTCAAGTCTAGTGAAAATTAACATGAAAGCTTTAAGTGCTTGCAGAGAATATCAAGAACAACTAATTACAGTGAACAACTACATCTCAGTTCCATTTCACAATTCATTGCTGCCTCAGCACTTAAAATGACCCATTCTCTTGGGGAGAATCCATCATGTTAATATTCTCCTGTGCGCTGCTTGGAGAATCCAAGCATGGGTTTAATTTCTGTTTGTCTGCCTGCTGACTGAGTTATTTTAGAGTCTTTAGCCACACCTCCTAGACTTGACTGCCTTCAGTTTCTCAACTCAGTCAAGCCCATCAGGTGTGACTTTGGCTCTGCCCTTTTATTTGAAGCTAGTGGTACGTCCTTCAGCTGTAACATCTTAGCTATCTTGTGCTTTCTTATCATTTTGAGTGCAAAATAGGTGTCACATTTTTTAAACAACCAAAATAAATTCTAAACACTCTTACTCAAAAGCTAAGAGGAAAAAAAATAAAGTTCTTGCCAGTCGTAGGTGGCTCCAACAGCTTGTATCATTGCCCATCTTTATAGTGCAATCCCAGAACACCCAACAGTTTATCCACCCTTGATATAAATCCCAACCATGGAGCCAGCCACTATGCTTGGCACCCATAGAAAATATTCTTTTTTCCATATATATATATATATATATATATATATATATANGCTGAGAGAATAAGGCTGAGAGAATAGTGGGTTTTTAGTTGATCTCTCCTTCTCACCCAAAAAAGAAAAAAAAGTTCATTAACCCAGCTGTGTAGGCAATCTTTTAGTGAGGAACGAAACATATTGACTCTTCTCTAATGCAAAAACTAAACTACAGTCTCCATTAAACTCAATGGAGGTTTTTATTGCTGCCATAGTGGTGGTTTCTTTCCCCCATAATGTGTAGTATTTTCTAACTTGTTCCTCACTTGACCTAAATAAACCTATGCAACAGCAAAGATAAAATTCCAGAGAAGCTTCCTATTTCAAAGGGAAATAAGAGATTTTACTCTTAATTGTCTCAATGCTAATTTATTAAAGTATTCTGTGTTCCACTTCCTGGTATTATGTTTTTCTACATGCAAGTAGGTAAAAATAAACCCCCTGAAGAATTTTACCGTACAAATACATTTGATAGGTAGATTATTTCTGAATTACTATGAGCGTTTTCAGGCTTCGTTTTTATAAAATGTCCTCAAAGATAAAAATTACTGGGTTTATTATGAAATGAAAGAATGCGTAGGCATTTGACAAACAACGCATATAGTTCATTGAAGAAATTGCAGTTTTTTTCCTAGATTTAAATACATGATTTATTACTGAAATTATTTCTTTTAGAAATTTCCAGATATTCCACCTGACTTATCTAATATGCACTTACAAATTACTGCACCTGTACCATCCCGTGTGGGAAGCGACTCAGAAGAATCGGAGAAAAGTGAAATTTGTACACCTGTTGAACAAATTGAACTTCCAGCACTGACTGCAGTACCTAGCAGGCCCCATTCATTAGAATTTTCAGATGACAGAGAGACTCTGGAACCGAAGATTACAAGAGGACAAATTTCTCATGTGTCTGAAACATCTCTATCTAGTTCTGGAAGAATCCTCGGCGAGTTTTCAGAGAGCGGTGATTCTGAACCGCCTCCTTTTCTTGGTCCTAGAAGCAAACTACTGCTTAAAGAAAGACCTGTAGCAGAAGCACCTGCCTTAGACTATTTACCAAAACCAATAGAGGTAATTGTTGCTAACATGTAAATTACCGGTATACTGTACACACACTCTTCTTCACCCCTTTCTGTACATAGGAGTTTTATATTCTTGTCCTCGCTGTTTTGAAATCCATGCATTATTCACAGAGCATGTCTGTATTATGAACTTAAACTAGTTCCCAGTCACCTCACTGGCAACCTGAGAAGTGTCCTTCCATAAGAAATTAAAAAGCAAGAGTAGATATATATTTAAAACAGCTGTACCAGCATTGCGTTAACCAGTTTCTACTACCAATTTCGTGTTATGATGAAAGGATTTTTGCCGGTGACATCACCATTTATTTATTTTATTTTATTTATTAACCACCTTTATATGCCGCCCAATCCCGAAGGACTTCGGGCGGCTTACAAAAATAAAGAGAGAAAAAAAACACATAACGAAAGAAACAGTTTAAAAACAGCAACATCCTCATACATTCATTCTAATCGGGGCTGGACCTCAACTGAGAGGTCAACAGCCCCAGGCCTGCCGGAACAGCCAAGTTTTTACAGCTTTCCTGATGGCCATGAGGGTGGGTATGGTCCGGATCT